ATTATTTAGGAGTCACTTACCATAGTATCTCTGTCACTGGCTCATTGCAAGCCAATGCCCATACGATAACATAAATATAAATTAAATATGCACTCACATTTGCCTCGCTATCAAATCTTCTCTACGATAATCTTCTCAATGCCGCACTTTTCTTTCCCTTTCAAATTACTTGGATCATAGATTTATCGTGGTCTGATGTCGCCATAAAATAACATAAAATATTCAAACTATATGTTAGTATCTAACTAACATAATTTAAGTTTAAATATAAAATTCGATAGAAATAAAATCGATACTTAAATCTATATAAAACTAAATCATATTTTCCAACAAAATTTCAAACTTTTCGTTCGATTCCATAAATATTTATTTCCTTCATCAACTCTTCAACTTTTTCCAATTGCATAATCAAGCCACTAATTATGAATTCTTTCTAGAATTATCCTTAACTTTTTCATTAAATTCCTAATGATCTTTCACCATTATGATCATTGCACATTAATTACTAAAATTTCCAGCACCTTAAATATTAACTCAATTCAATACTTTAACCTTCAAAAACTTGCAATTTCATCCTCTATTTCCTTAGACTTTTCAAATTCAACAACCCAGATTAATAATCTTGCAATTCAATCCCAAATCCAATATTTAAACTTAAAAATCAGCATGGTGATATAAAATTTCCAGCATTGAAATTTCATACTAAAGTAATACCATCACATTTGAAAATTCACAATTAAGTCCAACTTTTGAGACTATTTGAATTCCACCACCAAATTTATCCAAATTTGCACTTTGAACCCAAATTACTTATTTAACTTAAAATTTTGGCATTTCAAATATTATAATTCAACATTGAACACTCCAATTATCACATTTATGAAATAATATCCTACAATTCTCAAAACTTAAAAATTATCCCTTTTACTATCTCAAGGTTCTAAATTGATTCAAATTGATCTCCAAATCATATAGAACACTTTTAATATCAATTCTAGACCATAGGAAAATTTTCAACATTTTCCCCCAATTTATTCCCTGTGGTTGAATATAATTAGTAGAATAGGACTTGATTTTTATTCAATTTCAAGCATGAATTCAATCTCCTATGATCAAATTCATGTCATTTCAATCATCATAACATCAAATCCAATTTCAACCAATTTCTATAAACTCTTGACCAAATTGATTATAAGCATTTCTACTTTAATCATCACAAAGGCTTGGAAATTATTCTACAACACTAATTACATAAAAACCATCATTTAACTCTTCAAAATCTAACATGTTCTTCATGAACCCTAATCATGAACATCATCAACCAAACATGTTTTCCATCAACTATTTATACCAAATGATAGATAATTTCAAGTATATTAATTCTTTATCTAATTGCTTAAATCAAAAATCAATCTAGTAAGCTTAAAAATGAAATCAAATTTTTTTTCTTGCCAAGCTATGGTGGTTCACGTTTTGGGGCTGGAAGATGATGCATATTTCTTTTTTTTTCTTCAATTAATATCATATTACACTTGTATTTATCTAATATAAATGAATTTAAAATTCAATTAATGTGAAATTATCATTTTGCTCTTAATGAAACATGATAATTTCAAATTGTCATTGGAATATCTTCCATTTTAATATTCCAAAGTCAAAGATGAACATATAAAAAACCACTTTCCACCTTTATTCTTGTAAGTTTTTGAAAAATTATAATTTAGTCATTAAAATTCACAATTTTGGATTAACATGGAAAACCGACCTTAATTCCATTGATCCATGTTAAATTTCACTATTCTAAATTATGGAAATAATATTTCCAACCTTTATATAACACCTTAAAAATTTTGTGAAATTTCGGTTCGATCCGATTATTCGATTTCTATACCGAACTTTATCGTTTTATAGCTTTTAACACAAATCTCGTACCAAAAATCTGATTACCATGAAATTTTTTGTTTAGGCTAAACTGTTCATTTACGGGATAAAATATATAAAATTTCAAAATTACATTTTTATCCCTAAACTTTTTCAAAATTTATACTTTAGCCACCAAACTTTCAAACATACATTTTAGTCACTAACCAAAATTTGGGTATTAAAAGAGGATTAATTTTCTCACTAGTAGTTAAATCCAAAAATCAATTGAATAAGCTTAAAAATTAAAATCAAAATTTCTCATTACCTAGTTGTGGGGGTGCACGACTTGAGCAAGAAGAGGGGCTGAAAATTCTTGATTTATCTTCATAATTAACATATACACTTTTCTTAATTTAATATAAATGAATTTAAAATTCTTTTAAATAGAAATTATCATTATAACCTTACTAAAATATGATAATTTCCACTTTGCCATTGGTATATCATCATCCATGACACCATCTTATCTGTATCATCTTCAAAATCAAAGATGGACAAATAAAATCCACTTTTCACTTTTCCTTGCAAATTTTTTAAAACTACAATTTAGTAACTAAATTTTCCAATTTTGGCTAAACATGTAAAATCGACTTCAATTACACTGATCCACATTAAATTTCACTGTTCTAAATTTTGGAAATTTTAAATTTTACTGCCTTATAGATTTTAATACAAATCATGTACCAAAATTATGATTCCCACAAAAACGCCATTCTTGGGATGATCTATTCATTTATGGAATAAAATTTCTTTATGGGAAATTATTGCTTTTGGTCCTTGAACTTCTCTAAACTTTATACTTTAGCCAATATACTTTCAAAATTTATTTTTTGGTCACTAACCAAAATTTGGGGTATTACATTAGCATTGTCTCGTCGAATAGTGAACCGCTCACGAGTTTTGAACCGTCAGATGCTTGGGGGTACTAGATTGGAACCGCGGCCGCTAGAGGGGATTATGGTTAGGGCTTAAGGAACTCTAACCCACTGTTCGGTCTATTGGGATACAACTCCAACCGGGCTTCACAAGGTGCTGGACCTTGTAATCTACTGACTTTTGGATTTTGTTTAGAACAAACGGGCTGCTGGTTATGTGTTTTAGGCATCATTTACTTTGTATATGGATTTTTTAATGAACTTTTGGACTGCTTTATAAAACCTGTAAAATAAAATAAAATTAGTGTACATTCTTTTAATTAAAACATGTATATATCAATATATAGCCATAATTTAATATATTACTAAAATCGTCCCTTATTTACTAGTTTAGCATAATTACTAATTAATATATTCTAATACAAACTGAACTTATTATTACAAATATATATATATATATTAATATAAAATTAAATTATAAAAAATGGGACAAAACGTGTGTCTACAAATTTTTTAACAAATTCACAAATTGTTTTATTATTTTTCAAAGGGGTGGAATTTTTCAAAAATATTTTTTCAAAAAGTTTTGTTATATCAGAAAGGGGAGATTGTTGTATAAAAATTTTGATATAACAATAATTTGTAAAATTGGATTTTGGACTTAATCAAATTTGTCAAAAATTTAACAAAAATAATTCAAAGTCCAAATTAACTTGAAAAATATGTTCTAAATGTTTTCCAACTTAGCGAACATTTTAGAAAACATACTCGATCATTTTCACACTTTAAACTCATGTTTCCAAACATTTTTAGCTAAAATGATCTATCCCTTATTAAAACACTACAACAAAATAGAGTTTTAGCGGCGTTTTTTTAGTTCTATGGCGGCATTTTTAAGCACCGCTAAAAAGCACTCGCGTCGATAGTAAAAACATCGCCCATACTAGCGTCGCTAATGTTGGCAACGTTTGTGATATAAAAATGCCGCAAAAGGTCGAGATCTATAGCGGCATTTTTGGATACAAACGCCGCAAAATGTCAAGTTCTCTAGCGGCATTTTTGCCAAAAACATCGCAAAAGGATAGATATATAGCGGCGTTGTTGGATACAAACGCCGCAAAAGGTCAAGATCTATAGCGGGTTTTTGGAAAAAATGCCGCAAAAGGTTAGATATATAGCGGCTTTTTTAGATACAAACGACGCAAAAGGTCAGATCTATAGCGGCTTTTTGGATATAAATGCCGCTAATTACCATTCTTTAGCTAAAATTAATTGATATTTTACATATTACATTCTTCCTATACATCACCTAAATTTAATATCATGTAACTTTATATAAATAACAATCACCATAAATTTTAACAACAAAATAAATTAAAATTTATAAACAATAAAATATATTCATTACTTCGAAAATATTGAGTTCAAGTCCACATATGGAAAGAAAAATAAATTAGTATGCATATAATATAAGCTACAAATGCCATTTGACTGGATTCCTGACTTAAAAGCCATTCCAAATTTTCTTGGAGATTCAACTTCTGCAACTCCTCCCATTTTTCTCTGTCTGCAACCATTTTCAAGGTTATTGGACATTTCTTAATGGAAAGCATAAGCAAAGGATGATCTCTTACAACTTCCCTCTATCTACTGGCCAAGTCTTCCAACATTTTTGAAATTCCAGTGAATACGGGTCTACAAGATGGATCTTGTTGCCAGCATCTCCACAAAATTTGGGTGAGTATGCGTAGGAATAAAAGGCATTAAACCCTGAAATTCACACAAGGAAATATCTCTTTTTCTTCAAGTCTACTATGCTGGTATGAACTAGAAATCTCATAAAGCCAATAAGCAAACTGAACTTTCCAAATACTTTATGCATGTGAATCAAGCGATATATATATATATATATATATATATATATATATATAAGGATAGTGGATATACATGGATATGCATGCTACTAAAACAAACGAGTTCTGCTAAGCTCTACCTTTTAAAAGAATACCTTCTGGACTACGTCCACAGCTTCTTGTAAGGGTGTTAAATTCTCGTATGGAAGCTGGCATCAGTTACAAAAATTAGATTGATTTTTCCTAACCTAAACCATAAACTACTAGAAGAAAAGATAAACCAGAATGAATCAAAATAAATGAGCCAGAGAACTTAAAGGACAAGTTTTTCAAAATCTAAATACGACATCTACGCAAGAATGCCTTCTTCATCATTGAAGCTCAAATTCAATGTCTGTAACTTGAATACTGCACCATGTATGAGCTGCACCAAATTGGATGCCACTCCGGTAGCTTGGACCGTCGTCTGTTTAGTTAACTGAGAAAGAACGGAATAAAGATGGGAAAACTCTATGAATGAATAGAATGTAGAAAACTCGATGAATGAGCCATGGATCAAAGTTAGGAGTCCTAGAGAAAAGGTTCTTGTAATAAAGACAGGAAAAGCATACTGATTGTTTTGTTTAATTTTTGTTCGTTCAACTTTGAATTCTAGTTTTATGACCCGATAGATCAAAGGTGCTCATGGGAAGTGATTTGAAAGCTTAAATACAAGACATATCAATCAACAACAAAAAGAACACTCACCTCAACAGTATCAATACCCTCAAGGACTTGAACCTTCAAGTTGGAAACACCTTCGGCTCCCTACAACAAACAAATAAATCATCCCATCAGATTCAATTATAGTATATACTTTAAACAAAACCAAAGAACCTGCCATCAATAATATCGACAGAAACATAGTAGTACAATTAAACAACAATATGATTATAGATTTTTCTTATTTACTTTTCGATGAGAGATAATACAAGGCAGCCATGTGAAATCTTTTCCTCTGTAAGAAGCCATTTTCTAAGGGATCGAGTGAAACATTGGACTATGATCGGGACACCGGATGAAGTAAGAAGTTAGATTCCTCCCCTTCATTCAATCTGAAGATAAATCTACCAAGTTGCCTGTCAAAATGATCATTTTTGTCTGTAAAACATAAATGTTGCTATAATTTGCTTGAAAGTCAAAAGGTTGATTATATACCTCTAATGCCTTACTCACCTTTGGAATTTCAGCTTCATTCAACATTCCATCTGCCTTCAAACAATCAAGATTGATTGTCAGTGACCTATGAATGAATAGTTCCAAGGGAAAAAATTTGTAGACAAATATACAATTTCAAGCAAAAACTAGTCAATGGAACCGATTTCTGCCTAATTTCAAGAATTCAAATTATATGCAATAAGTAATTGAAAGATGCACCCCTAGTGGAGATTCTTTAAGCACTACTATGAAACATGATACATTTTTCCAGAATTCAGTAACAAATAGATAAACATCTAAGCAAAACTCAAAAAAGAAGTTCAAAATCCAGCATTATCTAAAGCAACCCTTTGACAAAGACAATGACAATTCCCCCTTAGTTAATGAAAAACAAATTGAACTTTTTTTCATAATTTAAGTAGCAAAGTGAAAAACAAAAACCCATACCTGGAAGTACATTCTGAGAGTGTCAAAGGGAGAGATAGGAACAGAAACAAAGTCTTGTTGCTCAGCAACAGCTGTTTCTCCTTCTTCAGTAGACTTGAGTTTCCAAGTCCCATGAAGAGTTTTGGTCGTTTTGGAGGACAATGATAAGTTGTTGGACGACTAGATAAGAATAAACTTTAATATAAACAAGATCGAATATATAATTTCATGTTAGGGATCAGAATATAATATTTTAGGGGACAAACTTATAATAATTCAGAAGAGATAAAAATAAATTATTAATAAAAATTATATAAAAATAGATAAAATATATGAGAATTTAAAATTTTCATGAGAGACCGTTCATATCCTTTTTAGCAATTCAATAATACATTATTTCTCAAAAAATGAGAAAAATATACTCCATTTATAATATTTATCAGTCATAACTTCACATTGTCAATTACCTGAATATGATTCAAACTGTAGTCAAGAAACTTCTCAGTGCGCTTGACGAAGCGATTGAATAGCCCTCCTATCAATGATCGTGGTCCAACTATAGTATTAGATATAATCAGTCGAGGCTGATCAGAGAGAGATATTAAACAATGAGTTGTAAACTGAATGCTGAATTCTAAAACCATGCTAATTAGGAATACTGAAAGAATTTATCAAGAAAATCTACTCACTAAAACATTGAGCTAACTGTGATATGAGGTGAGTGGGATTGTGTGGCCATTCCAACTCTAGACGGTCTTTCTTTTATCTCTAGTGAACTTCATCCTCATCAACCTACATTTCAATTTTAAGCAAACCATTCAATATCAATTAGTTGCATATCAGGTTCAAAATTTGGATGCTAAACTTTGTAACTAAGATTTTAACTATTCATTATATAATGTAAATGAATTCACTCCGAACAAGAGACATAATCATTCAACACAGAAATGGAAGAGTTTTCCATGATTAAGATTAATGAAAAAAATAGATTAAGCTAACAGATATGCGTAAGTAATACACTTGTAATTACTCTGTGAAGAGAAGAGCCAGAAGGAAAGCATTGGCGACGCTTCCTTAATCTCATGAGAGAATCATGAACAAAAGGATTAGATTTTTCAAATTCCTTTTAACCAAAGGAAAAATGGGCACCAAATGATTGCAGTAAACTCATGCGCCTCCATCCAATTCAACCCTTGTCATCATTAGAGATAGGCCGAATGAATATAATAATGACAAACACAAAGTTTCCTAGAAAAAAAATGAAAAAGATGAATCATTTTTCATCTCAAGTGCGCAATCAAAGGCCACTTTTTGCTGTAAGAAACTTTTTTTGCACCCTAAAATAAAAAAGCTTTACAATTTGTAAAGAAAAAAGTCATAAAAGGTAACACCCTTTCGTCTCTGGTTCGACAACGACATGAAATGCAAGACAAAAGGGTAAAAAGTAACCTTTTTTGTTACCTTGAAAGTGATTATCTACCTGTTATTTCATGTATAACAGCGAAGTAGATGGGTTTGAGGTCCGGTAAAGTGAAAGAGCAAAGCAACGAAGCAGATGGGCAAAGCAGCGAAGCAACAGATTTGGAGAAAGGAATTTGCGAGATCGACGAAGCAACCAAAGAAGGACTAAGATCGGCAGAAATTAATTTATGGGTTTGGGGTAAACGACATAAAGGAAGTAAAGGAAAACCATAAAGAAAATAAGATGAAAAAGGGCTAGGGTTTTAGGAGATAAAATTACAAACTTTGCGGCGTTTTCAATTTCAAATGCCACTAATATATTGTCAAGTGCGTCGTTTTAACAAAACGACACTAAATGTTAACCCTATTACAACGTTTTTAGTTACAAACGCCACTAAAGTACTACTATGTTGCGACGTTTGTTGAAAAATGCCACTATGGATGAACCTATTGCGGCGTTTGTACCGAAACGCCGCTAAAATGCTACTTTATAGCGGTATTTTTATAAAAATGCCACTAAAGTACTACTCACATTGCGGCGTTTGTTGGAAAAATGCCACTATAGATGAACCTATTGCGGCGTTTGTATAAAAATGTCGCTAAAGTGATACCCTATCGCGACATTTTTATAAAAACACCGCTAAAGTACTACTCATATTGCGGCGTTTATTGGAAAAATGCCACAATAAATGAACCTATTACGACGTTTGTATAAAAATGCCGCTAAAGTGATACCCTATTGCAGCGTTTTTTATAAAAACATAGCTAAAATTACCATTTTGTGGCGTTTAGTATGTAAACGCCATAAAATGTTTAAAATCAGTGGCATTTACTCCTAAAATGCCACTAAAAGTGCCGTTGTAGAATAGTTTTGCTGTAGTGAAAGGATCAATCCCTTTGACCAAAAGATCGATCCCCTTTAAAAATGATGGATCCCTTGGATTCCAGTAGGTTTTGGATCGATCCTTTTTGCAAATGAATCGATCTCTCGAGGAGAAAGATCGATCCCTTCCCCTAAAGGATCGATCCCTTTCTTGCAATGGCCGAATTATTTGAAAAATGATTAATCCATTTCTCCAAAGGATCGATCCCTTGTGCATTAAATGTTATTTTTTTGTAGGTAACGATTATAATAATCCCCCAATGGCTCCAAACGGATAGAATTGATGGAGAAGTTATAAGTTGACGGTTAAAGCATCCCAAGGTCAACAAAAACCATATTGATCAAATATACCAACATCGAAAAAGTGTCTTGTGCTTTATTTTTTCATTCTTTTCATTGTAACGCACTTGTTAGCTACATTGTTTACTTTTCTCAAGTGTGATTTGGGTTAGTGCTTAATTTGTGCAAACATATTTTCCTTGTGAGGTTTTCTGATTTTTTTTGTTTTACTTGTATTTACTCTTTGGGAGAGTGTGTATTCAAGGTTTTGGGGTATAAACCTTAAAGTGCTTGTAAGGTTACACCTTGTTTTTAAAGGTAAGAAAATCTAGTGGATTGGAGAAATCCTTAGTCTTGATGCTCAGGTAGTGGATGTAGACATGTTTTAGAAGTTTAACTACTCTAAATCGTTTTGCAAATCTTTCTATTTTTCGGTTGTTTCCACAAAATTTTTAAAAAGTCAATTCACCCCCTCTTGGCATATTTCAGTTGTTCGTAAGAGTTAACATAAATGGCTCTTTTGATACAAGTCGAAGCATTACTGCAGTGGGAGTTGTTGCTTGGTACCATAAGGGCTAAGTGTTGGGCGGACTTGCACAGACTACAAGTGTGGTGTTTGATCCTACTTTGACAGACGTTCATGCGTTCATTGATGCGATAAATTTGGTCTCAAAACGGGGTTGGGTTCATGTTCATTTCCGTGAATCAAACGTGCTCCGACCTTATTTAGTTGAGTGAAAAAAAATTAAAATATAAAGTGACAAAAAAAGTAATGTTAAATGTGCTTGATAAAAAAATAATAAAAAATGAGAGAAATATTATTTATTATATGCATAGATAAATCATTTTAATTCATAAAGAAGATAAAAATATAAAAGAAATATAAATTAATTATATTTTCAAAGTTTAATATTATTTTTATTCATTTTTTAACTAATTAATGAAAAGAAAAAGAACGAACCAAAATATCTTAGTGGTTAAAATAAATATTGTTATTTATAGATGCTACGAATTCTAGCACTAGCAACTGCAATAGGGTGTTTGAGCGTTCATTGTCAAATGATTGACAATATTTAAAATAGTTACTACTTTGTAATCACTTTAGTTTAATAGAAAAAAGAATGAAAAGAAAAATTAATTCTCTTTATACCGGCTAAATACACTAATAAAAAGGCGTAAAGTATGCCTTCTTTTTCATATAAGTACCTAAAATTATCTTTTTTTAGCAAAATAGGTATTTTAAATATTTTTTGATCAAATAGGTACATATAGTATTTAAAATTTTCATTTAAGTATCCAAAGTATTCTTTAGTTAATGTCACATGTCAACCTTTTTATAACTTAGGTGAAAAAGTTTGAATAGTTTAGGTACCTGTTTTGACATAAAATACTTTTGATATTTATTTTGATAAAAAAATAATTTTATATATTTATTTTGATAAAAAAATAATTTTAAGTACTGAAATGAAAAAGAGAACATACTTTACATACTTATTTTTAATATAAGTATAACAAAAACAAGAACTTTTTTGTATTTTTATTTTTTAAACTTGATTTTCATTTTAAATTTGTCCTTGTAATTTTCTTTCCCGATAAAGCCATTGTAGTTGATATGAATGTTATTTCATGCCGGTTGCGAAATTCATCGGTGGTAAGTTGGAGCCTTGATGATTTTCTGCATCATGATTATTTTAAGAGTAGGACTCTCATTTTAAATAAATCCATAGGGATAATCCGATGGCTGCAGGGGGAAGTGTGTTGGTATTAATTTGGGTCCTGTAATTTCTATTGAAAAAGGTAATTCAGATAAAGGAAAATACTGGAATTGAGCATGTTGAGGGAGAGTTTGAAGATGTGTCGCTCTTGCCAGATCAGTCCATGAAGAAAAAAAAGAAATTGAAGAAATTCGGGTCTCTTATGGATATTCAGGGGAAGGTACTCTCGAAAGCTGAGAGGAGAAGAAGAGATCGGGCGTTGAAGAGTGCCAAGGTGAAGAAGTTTGATTTTTTATCCTCTGAATTATCAGGTACATCACTTTCAGATTCGGATTTAAAGAAAATGTGGGATACTGCCTATGTTGAAGCGGATGAGACTCTGGCAGTAGCTAAGTTGCTTGGTATTAAGTTTGCTGGTCCTGATAGTAAGGTTATCGAGAAGTTTGTGTCGTTAGAATTGAGTTGAGGGTAGCGAGGGAGTCGTGGAGCATGCGTTAGGTTTTGGCAGTTGGAATTTGTGATCCATGTCTTGATTTTTTGTAGAGGTTCTGGAGCAGGTTTTTGGAGGAGCATTTCGTGAATTTGTTTCGTCTTGAAGTGGGGGTTTACGATATGGGAGGTTTTAAGTTCTTTTCTAGTGCGATAGTCATCTAGATTTTTTGTTTTTTCTGTGTTGGAGTGAGTTAAAGATTGTAGTTAGGCTTCTTTTTTGGGAAGGATTCTGTATATTCATTTCCAAGGCGTCTGGGTGCTGATTTTTTTATGGTTTGTATGCTATTTTCTAGGATATATGTTCTTGATGAAAGAGGAGTGAGGGTGTCTCAGATTTGGTGAAACAAATGGTTTTTAAGGGTTCTAAGTTTGTATTGTGGGAGTAATTTAGAATTGTAGGGGATTTGGTGGAGGCATTAGATTGATCTGTTTGGAGTGCATATGGGGGTATTGTTCATTTCCTTTATCTCTATGCAGTGTTTTTTGGTTTATGCTAATAAAGATCGTTTTAGGGAGGGTTCATGGCAACTTAGATTTATTGTTTTGCTATTATTATAAGGTGGTTTTTAGGTTGTTCCTTGCGCATTTTCAATGCAATTACAGTTGTTGGATGTGTTGTTCAGAGATTTACTGTGGTGTAGGAGGACGTTTTAGTATCGGTTTTGGTATTTTTGTGGTGGCATAATGGGTGGGAAGATGTTGTTGACTGTGGAATTTATTGGCTTGTGTTCACTGTCCATGGTAGATGTGGTTTGTTGGTGTTGTAATAGCTGGGTTTGATGGTCTTTACAGTGGTTGATCGGTTGGTGATTGT